GAATGGAAGAGAAACTAAGACACCACCCCAGACTCCACCCCACTCCCCACCCCCCCACCCTTGTTTCTGTTACTATTGTGTGTGGGAGTGGTGTGTCATTGGGATTATTGTAATGGCATTAATGATCCGAAGGCAGCATGTCCCATTGCACAGTGTGTACTGACCCACTGTAAGGTTAAATGAGTCTCCACTCAAGTTTTTTGATGTTGAGCTCCCTGAAAGAAAGGACAGTGTTTTTTCTCTAAGTATCCCTTAGGAAATTTCTGACCTCAGAGCAGGTTTTAAGACTTTAAACACACACCCAACTCATTATCAAAATACTATGAGCTATCTTGTACTTCCTTCACACTCATGGGTTCTCTACTATGTGCAGGCACCATTCTAAATCCTGGACCTGCAAAAAGCGAGGAAAAGGGACAAATTTCCTGACTTTTGTGCAGTTTGCATCCTCATAGTGAATTAGAAGACAGGCCTGGTAGTACAGGCTGACAATCTCAACACTCAGAAAGTTGAGACAGGAGGATTCTAAGCTCAAGACCTGTGTGGGTGACAGAGAGAGAGAGAGAGAGAGAGAGAGAGAGAGAGAGAGAGAGAGAGAGAGAGAGTTAAACTCAGAGTTTTTAGGTTTCAATTTATTTTCTCTCTTCTATACCATGGTTAACAGGAACAAACAAACCCTCACTTGGCTAGGAATGTAGCTCAGTGGTAGAAAGTATGCTTAGCAGCAGGGTGTGGTGGCTTGCACCTGTAGCTCAACACTTGGGAAACTAGGCAGGCATAGTTCTGTGAATATGAGGCTACAGTGAGGCAGAGGGCATCCTGGTTTATATAGTGAGTTCTAGACCAGAAAAGCCTGCTGCAGAGTGAGACCCTGTCTCAAGCTCCTCTTCCTCTCCTCTTCATGTAATCGTGTAAACAACCCTCAAATTCTAATGAAGCTGTAGGGCATTGTCTTTTAATACAACATCTTGGCAACATCACCTGCACCCACACAGCTAAAGAGAAAAGGGCCTACCCAGCGCTTATCTGGGTCTTAGTAGGAGAGGGTAGGAGGTTTGTGGGGAGTTCCTGGCAGTTTCCTCTGGGAAACTGCTCACAAGATACTTATGCCCCCTGCAGTTTTCTATGGCCTATATGGCTTTCTTTCTCCCTTTCCAAGAATGTAAAAAGTGTTTAATACAGTCTAGAATTGGCTGTTCAGGGATG